TTGAGCAACCGGTGGCGAACACTGAGCTCGACGGCGCAGCAACCAACTGTTGAAGCTCTGTCACAGCAGTCCCCGTCAACGCTGGTCACTCGCACTCACGCCCCTTCCGGTCCGCTTATCGCTGCTCCCGCCTCGAAGCCACGCTCGCCCGCCTCCGCCCAGGGAAAAAAAAACCTTTGTTCGTTCAAGGAAATAGTTTTGTGCCGTGGCAGCCGCAGCGTCGTCGGCGGGAATTTTAGCCACCATGGGAAGGTTGTCCTCCTCCCACGGCCACGTTATGGTCCTCGTGGCGGTGCTGGGGGCTGTCATGGCCTCCGCCTCCGCTATTGATATCAGTCACCTAGAAGGCCATCGGCAGTACACCAAGAGATCAGGTTAGTTCTTTATCTTGTTCTTCCTCTTTATTCGCGTGGAGTTGGTTCCCAGTTCCGTTCCTAAGCGCTGGTTCTCCGTCAACCGTTCTCAACTCAGCCCCCTTCCCCCTATTCCCTCTATCTCGCGTAGTCCCTCCTTTCTCTCCTCTGCCTTCTCCTCTCTCCGTCCCCTCTCCCTTCCTTTGTGAAGACCCCCGCCGCCGCCGCAACCAGTAAGTGGTTCTTCGTTCCTGTCCTTCGCCAATCGATAAGAGGGGCTGAGTGAGAGAGCGCAGTGTGAGGAATGCGATAAACTAATTACCGCCGCTGCCCCAATCAAGTAAGTAGAGGCCCCTGGTTCCGAGGGACGAGGGAGCCCAAGGGGAGGCGCGCGCCCTTCCTCTCTCGCCGCTCGGGGTCTGAACGGCGAGGGGCGGGGGTGGGCGGGGGCGGGCGGGGGCGGTTGAACTGCTGATGCTAGTGAGGCGAACCCTTCGAAAGGCTCGTTGTTTATCTGTCTATCTATACCTATATGCAAATATATTCCCATATACATATATGTATTATATATGTATAAAATATATATATATATATATATATATATATATATATATATATATATATATATATATATATATGTATATATATATATAGTTGCATAAATTATACATATACATATATATATACTCAAATAAGTATTTATCTATGTATGTTTCCACATACTGTGTGTGTAAATTATATACATATACATATACATATATATATATACATATATATGAATTTCTGTATGTATGTTTTCACATATTGTATGTATATAGATAGATAGATAGATAGATAGATAGATAGATAGAAATTGTTCTATTATCTTTGGTCCACGTTCCATTTGTTTATATGAGGAGTATAATTTTAGGGCGAACGGAAGTGTGTATACTATATATATATATATATATATATATATATATATATATATATATATATATATATATATATATATATATATATACATATATACATATATATATATATATATATATATATATATATATATATATATATATATATATATATATATATATATATATGTATATATATATATATATAATATATATATATATATATATGTATATTTATATATATATACAATACATACACATATATATGCCTTTACATACATTTTTATATATACAATTCCTCCCTCCCTTTCTCTCATTTTTATAGATGTACTTTACTTTTCACAAAAGCACTGGAGTGATACTGTTGCAGATCGCTCCGGATAAGCCAGGACTGAATTCGCCTTTGTTAAACTGACTCGTTTTATCTTTCATTTTATTCCCCTTTCTGCCCCATAGCTTATTTCTATATGTATATCTGTGTCTATCTATCGGTCTGTATTCATGTGTGTTTCTATCCCGTCTTCTTTGCTTCTTTTCTATTCTATTCTATTCTGTTCTCTCCTCTCCTCTTCTCTTCCCTTATGTTATCTTCCATCCCCTCTCTTCCTCTTTCCTTCGCTTTCCATCTCTCTCTCTCTCTCTCTCTCTCTCTCTCTCTCTCTCTCTCTCTCTCTCTCTCTCTCTCTCTCTCTCTCTCTCTCTCTCTCTCCCTCTCCCTCTCCCTCTCCCTCTCCCTCTCCCTCTCCCTTTCCCTATCCCTATCCCTATCCCTATCCCAATCCCTATCCCTATCCCTCTCCCTCTCCCTCCCCCTCTTCCTCTCCCTCTTCCTCTCCCTCTCCTTTTCTCCCTCTCCCTCTCACTCCTTCCTTCCCTCTCACCCTTCACCATTTTTCTCTCTTCCTTCCTCTCACCCCACCCTTTACTCCTTCTCTCTCTTCCCTCCATTCACTCCCACCTTCCTTCCCTCCCCTCCCTCCTTCCCTCTCCTTTTCTCTTCCGCGTCCCTCCTTCCTTCCCTCCCCTGTCCTTCCTTCCTTCCTTCCTACCTTCCTTCCTACCTTCCCTCCTTCCCTCCTTCACTCAATCTACGTCCTTTTCATCTCTCTTTCTCCTACTACATAAGTCTAAGAGTGCAAAAGACAAAGACAGAGAGAAACAGAAACATAGGCATAAGTTAAGTGAACCGAAAAATAAAAATATTTAGACAAAAACAAACCAAAATAAAGGAAAACATGTTATTTGAAATATTTA